TGACAAACGTGAGCGTGCGTGAATTCGATTTTAAATATCTAAAGGCAAATGACACTGGTAGCAATCAATGAAAATTTCGTCGACGAAATTCAGCCAGGTTCCCGTTGTTATGGTTCTTAGCAAGAGACTCTCTTGCTCTCAGTCGAAACTAGCCAGTGAACTAAACTTAATAGTTTTCAGCCTAAACCATTCGTAATGTTGCGTTATGTTGTATATATGACATCTGTCTTTCAACAAATAACCAGAGATCATTTATCATGTTCTATTAAGTAACAAAATTTTCAGAAAGAGCTTTTCAGTTTTCTTTTATTTGTTTTCAGTGTGAAAATTGGATTCGACGCGCAGAATTTGTGAGATCTAATGAGATGGTTGCGAGAGCCGATCACTTTTAGCGAAGTTCGTTGCAAACTCAGTAAATAAGGAGTTTTATCAGTCACAACTATCACGAAACTGAATCTGGGACAAAGCGTTAAATTTGAAATCAAAGTTTATAAGATAAGCCGTCGTCGTTCGCGTTCTCCATACAGTGCAGAGTAAACGCTCGGGCACAGCCATGGTAATGCTCATTAAACCTTTTGTTTAGCGACGTTCCCGTTACTGTTGCCGTCGTCCTTAAACTCCCTAATATGAGCATCTCGCCCTGGAAATAAATAATAATCGTGTCATTCTCCAGAACGTAGCCAGTTAAAAGTAATCTTGCGAGGATAAGAAATTAAAAGTACTACAGCTAATTACAAGCGTTGGAGGAAGTCCTTTTAAAATTTCTTCTCTCGGGCTAATCACGTGACCGCGGCGTGTTGTAGTCCACGAAGCTGGAGGGATTTCACGCGCGAATTCCTCGTTCTCCTCGCGGCGTCGCGCTTTAAAGAGAGACTCCGCCCCGAAAAACAAAGCACTTGAGCGCAAAATCCCGGCAGCTACGCAGGCTTGGCATGTTTATATGTAGGCTATGAGAAGTCTTTCAATAAAATATCTTTATAGACTTTTTTCCTGTTGTCTTTCCGCATAATTTATCACAATTGTTAGCCATAATCAGAGATATGTTAAAATCGTCCTGGCTAAAACATATCATTTATTACTTTTAATGAAGATATATGAATCCGCGGCCTTTTCAACTCGCAATATGGAAAAGATTTTGTAACAAGATTGATACCTGTTGTGGCAATGAAAGCATCAGTTAATAAATTCATGCCAGTGAGATAACAGTTAATCAATGACAAGAAGGAAACAACATGGTTTCAGGCGAGCATTTAAAATTTTGCATCCTGTCGAAAGCACATTTTGTCATGTCGGCCAGATAACTTGCGTTATATACTCATATGCGGCAATATATCGCCGTCTTGGTATTTTATCATTTTATCAGTGAGACATAATTAGACACAATTTATTGATGATTTGTTATCGCTAAAATCGAATTCAGACATACTAACCGTCCATAACAAGCTCCACCCTTTCCGACAAGCAAGCGCCAAAATCAGTTGTCGTAATCATTGTGCAGCCCACATTTTCCGTCATATGTGAGCTGTATTGAAATCACGGAAGGATGTACTTTAATTTTTGAATTGTCTTTGGCTGCACATGAATATTTCATTGGCCCTCTACCTCTAATGACAGTTTTATCTATGGACAAGGAACTCTTCGGTCAACTTTAGTAAATACGAAACCCTAAAATACTCGCTAGTTTTGGAACCATATTCCTCGGTCCAAAGGTCATTGCCGCTTTAAGTTAACAGTTGACACGGACAAATAGATTTCTCAACGTGAACTTTGTAAGAAAAATTTGTTGTTCCTTCGTACACTTCGTAAACTATAAACATTTGCATTAACCGCTTGTCAAGGAAAATGGACCAGTTGAGCTGTGACCGTGTTAGACAGTGCATTAGAGTCCATAGACAACAGGGAACTAAATAGCCGTTATTTTCAGCAAGAGCTATTCTTAAAGTTTCAAAATGGTATTTTTTTCAAGACAGATATGATATATTAACTCTCACAGTCATGTTATTCTAATTTCGCGCGTACTTTTATTTTAGTTCTGAGCGTTAACAAATTTTAGGCACTTGTAGTGTGAAGTACTCAATATCACTGATCCATACATCTTATCGGTGACCAACTTGATAAACACGAAGGTAGGTTCGTTACTAGCAGAGTCACAGTGGAATTTGCGAAGGTAACATTCCATTTGTCTGCCGAGAGAAACGGCTGTTGCCTCAAGATTGCTAGATGGGAGTTTTCTGTCAGTTACGTTGACTTTTAAGCAATATTTTTCTTGTTAACTTCACGGACCACGAGCTGCAGCCAGTATCTACTACGTCATGACGAGTGACGAAAAGTCAAATGGGAACTTTGAAGCGGTCTTGTTTCTCATAACAATATTCATAGAACTATCTAGTCTCCCAAATAAGACGCTGAGAATCACGGAGAGCAACTAATAGGCATTTTGTTCAATGGGATAGCCACATTAAATCAAGATACTTGATTGAGGATATTGTAATAAAAAATTCACTCTACTTTCTGAGCTGGTTGGCACGAATATGCAGCCACAACTATCAAGCACAATTTCTCGCGCACTATATTCACGCCTTATCGTTCTGAAGATTGTAGTATACTCAGACGCTTCCGTAGCAGTCATATATGCAACTAAACCATGCCGACCAAACCTTAAAATTCAACTTCAGTAACAATGGCTATCTACATAGAGAAATTACTTGAAGAAGTACTTTTATGTACTATGACGTATGTGCAGGTATCTGATTGAGCAGCCATAATCCATGAAACGATTATTCAAAAGCGGAGCCTAACTTGAATATTCAAGGCAGACTTCACTATAACCATTACTTGTACTGGCAGAGAACATTTTTAAGTATGGAAGATGGCGTGAAATTTACAATGTAAGCGGATTTCCCGCAAGCAGAATTCCGATATATAACATGCGGGAGGGTTAACAATGAAACTGTAACCCGCAAAACTACTTCCCCAGAACGTTAATAATTCTCAAAAAGCCAGCGTGAATGAAATAGCATTGCATTGATTCATAGTGGCTCCGCGACTTGGGGAATAAAAAAAAAATCACATCAAGATCGAGATGAATAATTAATTTCTTTTGTTTTATTCCCCTAAGGCTCGGTGCCAAGTTATAATTTTAATATTTTCAATATTTTTATAGAAATTGGCCTGTTGGTTAACACTTGAATTGCCGACGACGAAAACTTTTGGCACCAATATTTATTTAATATATGTTCTCTATCACAAGAACTTCCGAATTGAAACTCTTATTTTCTTGCTTGCGTCGACATGGGAAAACACTCTTGTTGGGAAACATTTCAAAATGTTTGCTAATGATTGTAAAATCTGTCATGCAAAAAATTCAAAAGCAACTACTAAATAAATATTTCTCACATTTTATTTTTAACCCCCGCAAACTTCATTAAATAACTTAAATGTCGCTAATAAATAAACGTTGAACACTTTGCTAGCAAATTCCTCTGAGTTACACTTTGTGTTCAACGCGTTAAATCTTTCAACTCCAAAGAAATCCAAGTCTAATTTCTCTTAACAATTTCAAAATCGTGTCAGTTATGCAAAAAGGTAATGAGAAAAAAAGAAAATTATCAGCGACTAGCCTCAATGCACCGAATTATCGACTAATAAATCAATAGAAATGTGGACGAAATCTGATTTTTTTGTCGAACCTAGGAATTGAAATGGCAAGCAAAAAGCAGTAATTTTATTCACTTTGCCATGTGATTAAAATATCAGAGGCTGTCGTGAGAAAATACAAATTGGAAAATGTCGAATGAACAATAAGTGGCCTAACTACGGTAACAAGTGTGTACTGATTCCACAGTTTTTCTCACTCTTCACTATTTCTGAAATGACTCCAAGTCGAACCACTTTGCAAAAACAAGTTGCGAGGCTTGTCGCCTTTCTCGCGCCAATATTATAGAGAAATTTCAAAAACTTAAGGGAATGTACGGCCATAGTTCGATCCGATCCGATCAGTCCGATCAGGCAATTAACCAGAACATGTTTTTGTTTTGGCGATGTTTTCGTATGTGCTCCAAAGTGCCTCATGTTCAGTAATCATAATTTCTGTAGAAGAGTGGTTATATGAAACAATTTTCATTGACATTTTACAGAAACTTCTAGGCTCAAGTACTAGAGATAAAAAATATCGCTCCCGTTTTGGCGACGAGTAGTTGAAGTACCACTTCAACAGTAGCACTCGTGCTGGCTGGCAAATATAGATGTGGAAACACGAAATTTGCAGTGATATTTTAAGCCTGCACTCGGGTGTTAATCGATTGGAAATTCTCGATGAGTCTTATTAGATCTTTGATTTTCAAAAAGGTCCATACAGATTTACCTTTTTACCTTTAACTATTTACCCGTCGCGAGTAAAAATAATAATATTCTAAATAAATAGAGCAAATTCATTAAAATAAAGGCTTTGAAAAAATATTCCCAGATGGAATTTTGCATGGGAAGTATTGTCTAAACGCTATTTTTCTATATTCATATCGAAAATAGTTTTTCTTTTAAATCTCTGTTATTCCCCCACTAATTCACATGCTTCAAACGATTGCTGCTACAGTGAAGCCGGAGAATTGATACTTGAAAATAAATAAATATATGCTTCACCTCGCGTAGCCGCGTCGTGAATTTTCCTGAAAGCCGTTGAAGTTTTAGCGCCATTTTTTTCCGTGAACGAAGAGAACACGGTAATTTTCCTCGTCGTCTTGGCGTAGAATTTTAACACTAAACAAGTTCGCACATTCGATGTACCCTTGTTTGTTCGTTATTATGTCTTTTACGGAATATCGCCACTGCCCATTCTTGAAAATTCCCACCACCCAATGTAAAAAGTCTCGTCGCCATTGAAAGGATGTTCATCTCCACAATTGCCGCAGCACCAGTGTCGTAAAGAATTCCATTTGGTTCAAACGTTTCGGGATGGTTCAAGGCCTTGTGGAGAAATATCGAAAGAGACCTACGGTAGTTCNTCTTGCAGACCAAGACATCGCCGGCTCCATCGCGAGCGATAGTTTATCAGGCATGACTTTGGACGAGTGGGCTTTCTGACCCGAACGAAGGAAGCTTGGACCAGAGGCGCGCGTTTGTTTGACGCGATGAGACTGGGAACGTTGAACCAAGACCCCTATCTTACATTTGTCACTCGAAGACGTGCAGAAACTGAGGACAAGGTAGAAACCACCGGATCGCTTTCACTCCAGGACGAGAAGAAAATGGGGACTCAAAAAAGTTAAATCCGGATCACTCTCACTCAGGACGAGAATAAATTCTATCAGTGACCTCCCTTGAAGACATTTTTATTTCGAGGTTACAACCTTTGGTGCAACACATGTATTCAAGAAAATTGAAACCAGCTGACATACATGATGTTATGTTTGAATGCAGCTTCAGATTTCGTTTTGTTTTAAACTTTAGTACGTTTAAACGTTTAGATTATTATTCTTGGGAGATTTTTTCCTTCATTCAAGGTTAAAAAAGGAAATTTCAATAGCTGGTTTCAAGAATACAACGCACAAGTCAAATGAATTACGAACGCAAACCGCAGGGAATACAGAGCAGGTATGACTTGCGGTTCGCTTTCCTGATTCATTTGACTTGTGCGTCGAACTCTTACATGTCCGAGAATTAAAACGACGGACTTGGAGTATGTCAACTCTTTTTGTTGTTGGCACTGTTTCTGTAATAGTGTTTGGCACAAATAAAGGACTAACTATCTTGACAAACACTTTACAACTTAGGTGAATGTGACAAACGTGAGCGTGCGTGAATTCGATTTTAAATATCTAAAGGCAAATGACACTGGTAGCAATCAATGAAAATTTCGTCGACGAAATTCAGCCAGGTTCCCGTTGTTATGGTTCTTAGCAAGAGACTCTCTTGCTCTCAGTCGAAACTAGCCAGTGAACTAAACTTAATAGTTTTCAGCCTAAACCATTCGTAATGTTGCGTTATGTTGTATATATGACATCTGTCTTTCAACAAATAACCAGAGATCATTTATCATGTTCTATTAAGTAACAAAATTTTCAGAAAGAGCTTTTCAGTTTTCTTTTATTTGTTTTCAGTGTGAAAATTGGATTCGACGCGCAGAATTTGTGAGATCTAATGAGATGGTTGCGAGAGCCGATCACTTTTAGCGGAGTTCGTTGCAAACTCAGTAAATAAGGAGTTTTATCAGTCACAACTATCACGAAACTGAATCTGGGACAAAGCGTTAAATTTGAAATCAAAGTTTATAAGATTAGCCGTCGTCGTTCGCGTTCTCCATACAGTGCAGAGTAAACGCTCGGGCACAGCCATGGTAATGCTCATTAAACCTTTTGTTTAGCGACGTTCCCGTTACTGTTGCCGTCGTCCTTAAACTCCCTAATATGAGCATCTCGCCCTGGAAATAAATAATAATCGTGTCATTCTCCAGAACGTAGCCAGTTAAAAGTAATCTTGCGAGGATAAGAAATTAAAAGTACTACAGCTAATTACAAGCGTTGGAGGAAGTCCTTTTAAAATTTCTTCTCTCGGGCTAATCACGTGACCGCGGCGTGTTGTAGTCCACGAAGCTGGAGGGATTTCACGCGCGAATTCCTCGTTCTCCTCGCGGCGTCGCGCTTTAAAGAGAGACTCCGCCCCGAAAAACAAAGCACTTGAGCGCAAAATCCCGGCAGCTACGCAGGCTTGGCATGTTTATATGTAGGCTATGAGAAGTCTTTCAATAAAATATCTTTATAGACTTTTTTCCTGTTGTCTTTCCGCATAATTTATCACAATTGTTAGCCATAATCAGAGATATGTTAAAATCGTCCTGGCTAAAACATATCATTTATTACTTTTAATGAAGATATATGAATCCGCGGCCTTTTCAACTCGCAATATGGAAAAGATTTTGTAACAAGATTGATACCTGTTGTGGCAATGAAAGCATCAGTTAATAAATTCATGCCAGTGAGATAACAGTTAATCAATGACAAGAAGGAAACAACATGGTTTCAGGCGAGCATTTAAAATTTTGCATCCTGTCGAAAGCACATTTTGTCATGTCGGCCAGATAACTTGCGTTATATACTCATATGCGGCAATATATCGCCGTCTTGGTATTTTATCATTTTATCAGTGAGACATAATTAGACACAATTTATTGATGATTTGTTATCGCTAAAATCGAATTCAGACATACTAACCGTCCATAACAAGCTCCACCCTTTCCGACAAGCAAGCGCCAAAATCAGTTGTCGTAATCATTGTGCAGCCCACATTTTCCGTCATATGTGAGCTGTATTGAAATCACGGAAGGATGTACTTTAATTTTTGAATTGTCTTTGGCTGCACATGAATATTTCATTGGCCCTCTACCTCTAATGACAGTTTTATCTATGGACAAGGAACTCTTCGGTCAACTTTAGTAAATACGAAACCCTAAAATACTCGCTAGTTTTGGAACCATATTCCTCGGTCCAAAGGTCATTGCCGCTTTAAGTTAACAGTTGACACGGACAAATAGATTTCTCAACGTGAACTTTGTAAGAAAAATTTGTTGTTCCTTCGTACACTTCGTAAACTATAAACATTTGCATTAACCGCTTGTCAAGGAAAATGGACCAGTTGAGCTGTGACCGTGTTAGACAGTGCATTAGAGTCCATAGACAACAGGGAACTAAATAGCCGTTATTTTCAGCAAGAGCTATTCTTAAAGTTTCAAAATGGTATTTTTTTCAAGACAGATATGATATATTAACTCTCACAGTCATGTTATTCTAATTTCGCGCGTACTTTTATTTTAGTTCTGAGCGTTAACAAATTTTAGGCACTTGTAGTGTGAAGTACTCAATATCACTGATCCATACATCTTATCGGTGACCAACTTGATAAACACGAAGGTAGGTTCGTTACTAGCAGAGTCACAGTGGAATTTGCGAAGGTAACATTCCATTTGTCTGCCGAGAGAAACGGCTGTTGCCTCAAGATTGCTAGATGGGAGTTTTCTGTCAGTTACGTTGACTTTTAAGCAATATTTTTCTTGTTAACTTCACGGACCACGAGCTGCAGCCAGTATCTACTACGTCATGACGAGTGACGAAAAGTCAAATGGGAACTTTGAAGCGGTCTTGTTTCTCATAACAATATTCATAGAACTATCTAGTCTCCCAAATAAGACGCTGAGAATCACGGAGAGCAACTAATAGGCATTTTGTTCAATGGGATAGCCACATTAAATCAAGATACTTGATTGAGGATATTGTAATAAAAAATTCACTCTACTTTCTGAGCTGGTTGGCACGGATATGCAGCCACAACTATCAAGCACAATTTCTCGCGCACTATATTCACGCCTTATCGTTCTGAAGATTGTAGTATACTCAGACGCTTCCGTAGCAGTCATATATGCAACTAAACCATGCCGACCAAACCTTAAAATTCAACTTCAGTAACAATGGCTATCTACATAGAGAAATTACTTGAAGAAGTACTTTTATGTACTATGACGTATGTGCAGGTATCTGATTGAGCAGCCATAATCCATGAAACGATTATTCAAAAGCGGAGCCTAACTTGAATATTCAAGGCAGACTTCATATAACCATTACTTGTACTGGAAGAGAACATTTTAAGTATGGAAGATGGCGTGAAATTTACAATGTAAGCGGATTTCCCGCAAGCAGAATTCGGATATATAACATGCGGGAGAGTTAACAATGAAACTGTAACCCGCAAAACTACTTCCCCAGAACGTTAATAATTCTCAAAAAGCCAGCGTGAATGAAATAGCATTGCATTGATTCATAGTGGCTCCGCGACTTGGGGAATAAAAAAAAAATCACATCAAGATCGAGATGAATAATTAATTTCTTTTGTTTTATTCCCCTAAGGCTCGGTGCCAAGTTATAATTTTAATATTTTCAATATTTTTATAGAAATTGGCCTGTTGGTTAACACTTGAATTGCCGACGACGAAAACTTTTGGCACCAATATTTATTTAATATATGTTCTCTATCACAAGAACTTCCGAATTGAAACTCTTATTTTCTTGCTTGCGTCGACATGGGAAAACACTCTTGTTGGGAAACATTTCAAAATGTTTGCTAATGATTGTAAAATCTGTCATGCAAAAAATTCAAAAGCAACTACTAAATAAATATTTCTCACATTTTATTTTTAACCCCCGCAAACTTCATTAAATAACTTAAATGTCGCTAATAAATAAACGTTGAACACTTTGCTAGCAAATTCCTCTGAGTTACACTTTGTGTTCAACGCGTTAAATCTTTCAACTCCAAAGAAATCCAAGTCTAATTTCTCTTAACAATTTCAAAATCGTGTCAGTTATGCAAAAAGGTAATGAGAAAAAAAGAAAATTATCAGCGACTAGCCTCAATGCACCGAATTATCGACTAATAAATCAATAGAAATGTGGACGAAATCTGATTTTTTTGTCGAACCTAGGAATTGAAATGGCAAGCAAAAAGCAGTAATTTTATTCACTTTGCCATGTGATTAAAATATCAGAGGCTGTCGTGAGAAAATACAAATTGGAAAATGTCGAATGAACAATAAGTGGCCTAACTACGGTAACAAGTGTGTACTGATTCCACAGTTTTTCTCACTCTTCACTATTTCTGAAATGACTCCAAGTCGAACCACTTTGCAAAAACAAGTTGCGAGGCTTGTCGCCTTTCTCGCGCCAATATTATAGAGAAATTTCAAAAACTTAAGGGAATGTACGGCCATAGTTCGATCCGATCCGATCAGTCCGATCAGGCAATTAACCAGAACATGTTTTTGTTTTGGCGATGTTTTCGTATGTGCTCCAAAGTGCCTCATGTTCAGTAATCATAATTTCTGTAGAAGAGTGGTTATATGAAACAATTTTCATTGACATTTTACAGAAACTTCTAGGCTCAAGTACTAGAGATAAAAAATATCGCTCCCGTTTTGGCGACGAGTAGTTGAAGTACCACTTCAACAGTAGCACTCGTGCTGGCTGGCAAATATAGATGTGGAAACACGAAATTTGCAGTGATATTTTAAGCCTGCACTCGGGTGTTAATCGATTGGAAATTCTCGATGAGTCTTATTAGATCTTTGATTTTCAAAAAGGTCCATACAGATTTACCTTTTTACCTTTAACTATTTACCCGTCGCGAGTAAAAATAATAATATTCTAAATAAATAGAGCAAATTCATTAAAATAAAGGCTTTGAAAAAATATTCCCAGATGGAATTTTGCATGGGAAGTATTGTCTAAACGCTATTTTTCTATATTCATATCGAAAATAGTTTTTCTTTTAAATCTCTGTTATTCCCCCACTAATTCACATGCTTCAAACGATTGCTGCTACAGTGAAGCCGGAGAATTGATACTTGAAAATAAATAAATATATGCTTCACCTCGCGTAGCCGCGTCGTGAATTTTCCTGAAAGCCGTTGAAGTTTTAGCGCCATTTTTTTCCGTGAACGAAGAGAACACGGTAATTTTCCTCGTCGTCTTGGCGTAGAATTTTAACACTAAACAAGTTCGCACATTCGATGTACCCTTGTTTGTTCGTTATTATGTCTTTTACGGAATATCGCCACTGCCCATTCTTGAAAATTCCCACCACCCAATGTAAAAAGTCTCGTCGCCATTGAAAGGATGTTCATCTCCACAATTGCCGCAGCACCAGTGTCGTAAAGAATTCCATTTGGTTCAAACGTTTCGGGATGGTTCAAGGCCTTGTGGAGAAATATCGAAAGAGACCTACGGTAGTTCGTTTCTGCATAATTCATCAAAGTATCCGATCCATAATCGGTTAAATCTGAGGCTAAAAATACTTGCTTTATACCGTACACGTCCCGTGTTTCTTGTACACGAGTTGCTAGTTTTAACATACATCGTTTAGTTACGTTTATTCCTTTTCGCTCAATATGCCTCTCGGAGCGTACGTGGATGCCGATGAATTCTCCACGAAATTTGTTTTTCACGAAATTTCTCGCCAGCTCGACGAGTCGAGGGTTAAACTCGAGATCGGACGGCCGGAGAGGCTGCGTAATAGATGTATCCAAAGGAAAGTGGACACGGTCCTCGCCAGTTCCCCTCCACTGAACGATACCTACGCAATTCGCTCCTTTGAGGACGCTGTCCTCAAGATCGCTTGCGGTTCTTATTACTTCCGGATCCACACAAATATAACGACTAACTTTGAAGCCAATCTGCTTGCTGAGGCGTGATTGCTTCATGGCAGAGCAATCAATCCAACCATTGTGTTGTCTCGCTTTGTTGTACATAGTAGCAACTTCATTGTCACTCACCCTGTACCATGAAGCTGTGTCCCTCTTGTAGTTTTCGTCGTCAAATAAAAAGTGTATCACGATATTGAATCTCTTAGCGCAGTGGGATTCGAAGTCACGAAAACTGTTCAAGGTGCTGTAACCGCGAGCTTTTAACTTGAAGTTCAAGTCTTCCAAATTGAAGTATTCGCTTAGCAATGCGTAGGTCCGTTGTGATGGTTTCTCATGCTTGCGAAAATAATGACTCACACCGCCTGGCAAACCAGACATGCGAGAATTATTGACGAAGGGTACAACCAAGAGTCGATTTTTGTTCTTCGCCAATGAGGCCAGATCCAAAAGGTTATTCGTTGCTCGGCCTAGCTGCTCATAATAGCGAAACACAAACAAAAATTTTCGCCTTGGTCCGTTCAATGGCTGTGAATGGTTGCTTTCCATGTTTGTAAATTCAGTGTCCGGTAGCTTTCGTAACTCATTATCGAAGACGTTTTCGTCGATAGTTGCTTCACCGTAGTCGTCAAAGCCTTGGCTGATACGTGCTTCAGCGCTATTGCGCTGTAGATGAAGGAGATCGATGTTTTTAAGGTTACTTCCCTCGATAGCAAGAACGTTACTAGGAAACTTGGCTGTTCCATTGCCGCGAATATGCAAGCAGATAAAACTGCCGACGACATACAGAATAATGGAAACTAGCACCAAAGATAAACATTTCGTCCTCGGTCGAGCCATTAAAAATCTAGAGATTAGATATCTCTTCCATAGAGCCATGAATATTGAAGAATATGCGACAGAGCAACCGCGAGATGCAACATTTGATTGCTATGCTAAACACAAGCGACTCAAGTTCGAAAAGCGTGGATAAGCTTTTGGTTAGCGTTACATACACACTATGCTAATAGAAATGCCAAAAACAAAACAGTCATCCAACTGGCTCGTTCTGTCCACGGAGAGCAAGAACATACTGGGAGACCACAGGCCTTTTACAGCGGGTGAAAAACCCAAGCCGAGCTGAGACGTCGGTTTGGACGAAGTGCTGGCAGAGTCGTAGACTGGTAATTTCCAATGAATGCCCGATACTGGGCTTACTTCACTTTCGTGTCCAAGCACGTTAAATGGCATATAATCTCGTAATAGTCTATTTTGGTTGGACCATCTTCTTGCAACCCGTGGATATCTCTTATAGTCCAATATCAAAGGGTTTCTGCGGGAGATTTCAATTCTCCCACCTGTCAATTCATCACGGCTCAAATGCAGATTGCTTTCTTTGCCTCGTTACGCTCAATTGACTACCACGGAAAAAATCACGTGTTAAAATTGTCACGCTCGAATGTTCTTCGATTTGGTTCTTTCGTTTTGCTTTCCGAATTAATTTGAACAAAATACAACTTTGCGGTGGCACTTTCCTTAAATATTTTCCCAAGAATTCTCAAATATCTGTTATTTAGATTGCTTGCAGCGATAAGGGAAATGGTCATATTTCTTGTTTGCTCTGTAAACATACAGACAATTTGAGGCAGGTGCCTTGCAAATGACCTACTTTAAATGATAATTCCCTGCTGGCGAAGCTCTCTCCGTCTGTGTTCTTCGCAGGATAACGAAATTAAAATTTATAGTAAACTGCTTGGCTGAAGCAAACCATGTACAAGAGGAGAAGAAAACTGGCAACAATCTAAACAGCCCAACGACCACATGTAAAGCGGACCGGATTTCGTGTCGAGTGGTTGCTGTCATCGCAAAATTATAAGAGATCGCTGCGTTGACAGTTCAAAACGACCCGTAAAGTGGGTGAAGAATGCTATCACCGCAATATGCAGATTTACACTTAATTATCATTGAGTTCGAACTTCAGACTGTTCAGAGGTAAATCTATTATAGGTTTCGCTGCAGCGCACATTAATTACAAAGTTGAGCGTATTAACTGCGAGACCAGTGGAAATCGCCGCGTGAATCTTAATACAAACTGTGACATCATGCGGTTTTTAGATAGGAGAAGAAACACGGCATAGCTATGGACAAAATTGCAGAGTATCAGTTTGCCTTGAAATAATAAAGGATCGTTATTGATGCTAAAAGACAAAATAAATCGCCAAGATTGGAACTTTCGCTTTGAAAAATATAAAACAAGATTTATTTGAAATGCTGAAAAATCATTTCCTGTCTGAGTTGTGATTATAATTCAAATGGGCAATCCATCTTCGGCAATTTACTCAAATCTCACAGAATCAGTTTTCTAATCTCATATACAGTCTACTATTTTGTGTCAATTTGACAGTAAAAAGACCCGACGCAAAATCCTTCCGCAACTCATTTTAGTCATTACGTATTATGACAAAGAAACGCTTTCAATTTCATGAAATTATGTTGAATTAGTTTTGAAATTTAGTTTGAGACCGAAATTGTGCCTAAGGCAGTTAAGCAGTCTTTCCTGTCCGTCTTCAGAAAATTGTTTGACGAATAATGCTTTTAAAAAGTTTAGATAATAAAACTTCCTGCTGTTGAAATTAGCATGTGAATTTATGCTAAAGAACTCGAATGGTATTCTCGATAACTGGGACAAAGACGCCCTTTAAATGGCTTCTAAACTTGACTTTACACGGGTTCTTTCGGATTATTTTGCCGCTTGCCCAATATCAGCTTTATCCATCATCTCCTGCCTTTGATGACGGAATGAACGTCCTAAAAGTTATTGTTTACCACTGATAGCACTGCTGTCGGAAAACATTACATAAAGCGAAAGAAAGGAAGACAAAGGAACGATGAATCGCTCTGGAGGTTTTCTCAGAGTGGATCCCTAATCACCCATTAAAACGGTAATGAATTATTGTTCAAAAGCCCATCATAAACCACTTGCCTGAGTACAAGACGGCCTGCGATGTCAAACTCTTTAACTTTTTTCCTCAAATGAGCGTGATTCTACCTGAAGTAGATTGATTCAGAGCGGATTTATTGATTCACCATCATTTACAAGTCATCCAGATCTCAAAAGGGCTAATATGTAAAAGCTCACCCACGCACGATCTTTGTGAAGGACACAAACGACGTTAATAGAGTGACATACAAAAGAGTCCTTTTAAATTCCTCTGTTCCGATAACTGTATGCACTGCACGCATAAACAAGTAAACGAAACTTCTGTTAACCCGAGGGCATTAAGTAATCATATTTATTCAAATTAGCCTTTTAGTCAATCTTAATTTATAGGCTGAATAAGATAAGACATAGCAGTCAACATCAATTTCTACCTAACAACGACAGACAAGCGATGAAAATAAAGAGAGCTTTATCTCACCGATAACCTGCCTTATCATTCAATCTTTTTTCCGTCGTATGATTGGAGGATGGACTAAAATACGTCATTAGGAGATAACGAAATTCAAATAACGGTCTCCCGCTACCAAAAATAACCGATAATATTCAAGGACAATAGAGACAATACACTATTTATCCGCTATAAAATAAAAGACATATTAACGAGCAGAGCGAGTTTCGTCCTGCATAAGCTGCTCTCAGAAATAACTGCGGAGAAATCAAACTTGTCTAATGGAAAGACATGCTCTTGATGAACTTTGAGAGGCTCATTGTCTGGCAGGTCAATTATTTGTCTTTGCTTGCAGTATTGGGAATAATTAATCTCACGCCACTGGATTAATTAGGAAATTTTGCTCGACCTCAAATAATACTGGCGCTCGTGACTTACATCATAATACCGAATTTAAAGATCGGGAGACCAGGCTTCCGGCTACAACCACCCTTCATTCTCGAGCTAATCTGGCTTACCAAATTAATCAAGGCCTTTTGGTGCACTTTAGTGGCCATTGGCTGTCTCTGATCCTCTCGAAAATTCTAAACCAGAATGTTTCTTAGGGTCGATTACCAGCCGCTGTACGGAAAAAGAACCTGCGCTCCTCCCCCTTTTCTTCTTGGGGAGGAACGTAGACCGGACTCGAGAAAGCGGCGGAAATCTAGCCTAAATGTTTCTTTGATGATCACAACGAATGTAATGATAACTTTAACTTACTAGTAACGTTATAGCTTCCTCTCTAGAAGTAAAATGTGTCAGTTTGTTTTCATTCTTTCGCATCCCTGATCTTTTCGTAAGCGTAGGCAACATTCAGAACAGTGGCTTCGTCAAACTTTCTTCCCACAATCATCATACCGACTGGTAAGCCATCATTGAACCCCGCGTTGATTGACAGCGCTGGGTGGCCTGTGACGTTAAAGGGGCCGGTGTTTTGACAGAAGTCAAAAGCCGTTCCTGGAAAGAACCGATGGAAAAAATAATAATAAAATGAATGAGAAATTGTAATAAATGAGAAATTGAAGTCTTTTTCTTCAGTTGTAGTTCAACGTGCAGTCACAAGCATCAAGGCTCGTCCGCGAGAATAGATTGGAAGTAAGATCGATTTTCTTACCCTCTTTGAATCAGTTATCATTTAACTTTGATAATTGCCTATAGCTCGCTAATCTAGCAATGGTGGTCAGCAGGGTGTCCATTTACAGCGAAGGTGGATTTTCAATATTGATGCACGAAGCTCCATAGTCAGTATGCTCTAGGACAAACTTGGAGTATAATCATGGCCTCCCTTTCATTGCCAGCCTCCGAGCAGGCTCTAGTGTTTGTGTTTTGCACTCAAGCGTTGCTATCTGCCATTTACTGGCGAGTGTGTATCTCGCGGCTTCCCCGGCCCAAACTCGAGATTTTGCTTGCGCTCGAGGCTATATCATTGGTTGTAAGTTCTCTCTCGTGCGCGCACTTGGAAATTCTCTCCATTCCTACACACACAAATACACCCTACCATTCCACAAGGTCAAGATCTCAAAAGGATAACCAACGTACCCCTCGTCGACACACGAGCAAACTGAAATGATATCAGCAGTGCTTCTGTTCTTAACTTACCAAAATCAATTTCGTCATCCTCAGGTATTTTCGGAGTCTTCTGGATAATTGTTGGCAAAACCATAGCATCATAACGTTCAAAAACTTTATCGTATTCCTGAGACAACTTCCGCGCTAGGTTTATTGCCTTGCTGTGAAATGCGCCATGATAGTTTTCGTGCACAAACATGCCAAGCATGAGAGTTAATTTTCCAGGAGAGGCCAAATCATTTGCGCGGGAATCGAAACCGCGCCCAATCGCTCTCTGGAGACTGGTGTCGACAAACCCCCTCGAGTCTGAATTGAATCCTGTAAAATGAAAGAAAACTTGAATAAATCTTGGACGACTTTTTTGAGCCAGATAGCCTGAAAAAGACCATTTTGCTGAGAATACGAAGGGAGAAGTTTTTCTTGGTCGTACTTTTGGAAAACATATAAACTGTTAAAAGCAAAAAAAATCTCCTAGTATGTAAGAGGGTCTCAATGGGGCGTTATGGCTTTTACAGGTAACAGTTAAAGCCCTGGCCAAAACAGCAGGTAGACGCAAGTTAAAAACTTGGGTCTACTTGCAAGTCCTTTCATTTTTCCTTCCCCCTCCCCCGTTACTCCTCTTTCAGCCTAACTCCCACTCCCTGGGATGCCTTTTCGTTTCTCCCCAAGCCTCTTCCGAGTTTGAATCCAAGAGGGCGCTCGCTTGCCAAAATACGCCTGCATTGCGAGCTATAATATTTTGGGTTTTTTTACGGTTAATTTATTTTCCTCACGGTTAACAGAAATCTTAGAAATCAATGACCATTGTTTGTTTTTTTTTCTAAACCAGTTAAAACTTAATTTTCATTGTTTTAAAAATTTAAAATTAACATAAGTACTAAAAATTCAAATCTGCGCTTTCTACACTTCTTTAAATGGTCAAACATCAAAATCGAAGAAAGGGATACGATGGGACACTCACCATGAAGTAGTCTATAACCACCTTCCAGGCAAATTGCATCGCATATTCGAATTCCTGTGTGTAAATACAATGGAACAAAATTCGTCGTTGTCAAATTAACATGTAGGCAAAAGGACGACAGGCTCATGATAGAATTAACAAACGGAAAAATTGCAGGAAGCACCTCACCATCAAAATGCATTGGCACTGACACCTCTTCAACAGTAGCACCCAACATGGAGAAACGATCAGCGGCCTCCTTGACAAACGTTATAATCTTCATGTCAGCTTCAGGCATCTCAAACCCTTCTCGAAGAACTCCGATACGTAGACTAGAAATGTCACCAGTGAGCTACACATGGAAAACGTAAAGGTCAAACAATAGTAAAGCAATAGTAAAGTCAGGTAAAGTCTGCATACGAGCCAAGTGGCCCATCAGACCGGAGCTTATCCCGGTTTCTGTAGCATGAAGCGACTAGGAGTATTTCTTCTCCACCCCTGGATGGGATGCTAGCCCATCGCAGGGTTACCCCCAGCATTAAATTCGCCGGTACCCATTTATACACCTGGGTGGAGAGAGGCACTGTGACAGTAAAGTATCTTGCCAAAGAACACAACGTTAACGCAATGTCCCCGTCCAGGGCTCGAACCCGGATCGCTCGATCCGGAGACAAGCGTACTAACCATGAGGCCACCGCGCCTCCCAGTAAAGTAAAGTGACTATATAGTGCCTGCCATTTAATGTAAAGGGGCTTGTCGCTCGATATCTCGCGGTTGGTATATTCTTCTCGTTTACTAACAAAGCAGAGTACAAACAATACATGATTACATGATATTTACAATTTGAGAGAGCGGTTTAACGGGATTTTTTGCTTATCCCTTTTCTACAGTCTGACGGCTCGAAATGCCGGTTTGCCAATCTCCGATCCGCGACCTACCCCCTCCCCTTATAATGGGATCAAAACTCGCGTGCCCGCGAGTCTATTTCAAATAGTAACCACAAAACTGAAACACAACGCTACTAGGTTTATCGAATTGTGAACATTGAAAAGGACATGAGGAGAAGACCCTCTCAGTCTTAAACAGCGACGCTGATGCTAGTCTGTTTAAGTCCATCTATGCGTTGATAAACTTTAGTACATTCAGACAGAAGCTGTCTCTTTTAATGTAATGTTTTTTAATCGCTTTCTGATGCGATCACTGGCAAAAGGACATGTGGTGAAGGTTACACGATGTACCTGTAATAAGTTACATACCAGACTGGTGTAGGAAACTGGCGTGGAAAGATCACGTGGCTGCCTAGGATCTAGGTCCCCATCCAGTCCTGCAACAACCTTTATGAAGGTAAAGCTGAATCTTAGTTTAAATCCGAGTACCAGCAACACTCAATGCTTGAGGTCTTCAATAAAAAAAAAAAAAAAAAGAAAAAAAAACTGTTGAAAATTGTTCAAGATGACCGACAAACAGACTGTATGAATAATCTGGTGCAGTGGACTAGAGAATGGCGGTAATAAGTGATCGATTGATTGATTGACTGACTGCCTAATTGATTGACTAGATATATGTACAAGAATTTATGACAGGCCTTTTACAATCCCTTTGTTTCTATCAGTGAAGGCTGACGAACTGTTGTTATATCATAGACGGTGTATGACAAGAAAGTCGTTTCAGCCCGTTGTATTAACTTTCTTCACTCTTTTACTGGGCACGTTAAGACTCGCCAAAAAGCGGAAAAAGAAACTAGCGTTCACTTCACCCATTCTCCCAAAGCACCTTGCATCTCTTGTACGCCCCACTCGTAAAACGAATTTGTTTGTAAAAAGATAAAACCAGAATTGGCGACGATACCTCTAAGAGCAAAGCTACATCTGTGACTGTTCTTGCCATAGGTCCCGTATGATCCAGTAGAAGGTCTACCGGTATTATTCCCATGTATGGCACTAAGCCGTATGTTGGCTTCAATCCCACAATCCCACATGCGGCGGCGGGAATCCTAATAGAGCCGCCTTGATCACCTCCCATAGCCATGTCCACGTGACCTCCTGCTACCTGTCGGTAATGTTAGCAGTCGAGATAAGCTGTGAGTTGGAAACGGCAGCATCGTTTTGTAGAGTGTCTTTCTTGCTAAAACGTACGCAATGAGACACAAACGCTATGGGCTGAAATACAGAGGGCAACATTGAACAACAGTTTGAGATGAACAGCTGATCAGGCTACATCTCAACTGCGCAAGTTTATTTGTTGCAATTTGTTCTGTTCTGATATCAAAGAACTCAGGGCAGGGTAAATTATACTAAGGGGTGGACGATTTCACTTTTGAGAGGGGATTGTGGGTGATTTGGGGCAAGTACGGATATATTTTTTAAACCTTTCATGCACTAGGAAATTTATTTTTCTCGGGACGTATATATTCATTTATTTTTTTCGGCTGACTGTGCGCCCGTTAATTTATTTTGGCAGTGGTTGTGTAGAAGAATTAGTTTTGGTAAAAGTATGCTTGCAGAATATTGTTTTCAAAATCACCCACCTCCTACCTTCAAAGTCAAATATTCCACCCCTTACACAATGAAGCTTACCAGCGCTGCTGAACCAGACGAAGACCCCAGAGCCATTCTTGTTTGATCATGAGGATTGACAACATGCCCAGTGGCTGCTGTACAGCTAGTCGCAGTGAAGCAGAACTCCTCGCAAACAGCTTTGCCGGTGATTCGTCCTCCAGCGTCTAATATGCGAGACACCACAGTTGCATCGTAATCCGGGACATAGTCTTCTAGCATCCGGGAACCACACATCATGGGTACCCCGGCAACGGAGATGTTGTCTTTGATAGCAATGGTCTTTCCTTGGAGTTTGCCGTTTGGCGCGCCGACTATATTGCAACGCCAGTACCTAGAATGCCAACGAAAGCGTCAGCTATCAGTACAGTAGAGAAAAAAATATTTTAGAACTGAAGTTGAAGATGTAAAATTTTTGAGTCGAATTTTTTTTGGTAAATTACTAACCACGCATTAAAAGGGTTTTCCTCTGGTGCCGGTCTGTAACCTCGTTCTCGAGCGTATTTAATCGGGAGCCTGGGTTCTGGTAAGTCGTACAGCCGCTGATAAGTATCGCGGAGAGTGCTGGCGATCGCCTCTGTGGAAAGTTTGGTCGAAATCGCAAGACACTCATTATTAACTTTAAATGCAGTGTTGCTGCTAAATTGAATGAATAAATTATTAATTCTCTGTTTCAGTGTATTACCAGGCATTGCCGTACCCAAATTTGAAATTCAGTAGCCAATAAGAAGCCTTGTCAATTGTTTGACTGGCTGGATATCATGGCCGAATCTGAGTACGGTAAATACCTGCCATAAGAGCCCTGGCCGGGAGTCATTGGGTTATGTTCTTGGGCTCGACACTTTAATCTCACAGTGCCTCTCTCCACACAGGCGTACGTGTATAAATGGTTACCAGCCATTTTAAGGTGGCTGGCAACAGTTTCCAGTAATTTCCAAGAGTTAAATTTTGATGGGTCATTATAACCACTCTTAATCCTTTGATGCTACAATCATGGTATAGAAAAACTGCCCAATCATTGGTGAACACGTTGTTACCATTTTCGTGACGCAATAAGTTACCATAGCAACATATGAGACTCCTTTAATTTTTACTTGGACTGCTGATACCGCAAAATCCCACGTTATAAAAGCCCTGGGCTTATATAACTTCATAAGGGATCTTGGTTGGGCTTATAAACGGGGTGGATTATATCCGGGGGGCGGCATATAAGCCGAATAAAAAATGTTTCGGAAAAACGAGACAAAACGTAACTGAGAAACATACGTACCATTACATTTAGGGCTATTACCCTATTACCCTATTTTATTATCTATTAGCGCATAACTTTCGATTGAAGATTTTGATGTTTGTAAAGAAACGCAAAAGTAACGCACTTATACATTAGACGGGCTTATATCCGGGGGGCTTGTATCCGGAAAAAAAATAGAGGAGGTTGTATCCGGGGGGCTTATAACTGGGTGACTGAAACGTGAGATTTTACGGTGATTAAAAAACGATTTTGGTGACCTCATTTTTTGTTATCGAATTTTGAAAAGCAGGATAAGAGACGCAACTTTTGGCAAGGTTCAAAATTTATTCTGGACTTGGGGCTCAGAGCCGTCTTATATTTTCGAAAATTTAAGGGGGCACTGAACCCCGCCCAAAACATATTACAAACAAATAAACAAACAAAGACGAAACCAAAGGCAAAAACGATACAAAACAAAACGTCTTGCCATTACTTTAGGTCCTCATTGAAAATCGATTACTGACCTCCCTGGTCGTGTTTGCATTTTGAAACAGAATTCTGGCTAATTCTTTTACTTAAGCTACATGTTGGTCGGCGTAGTATAGAAACGAACCATTTTAATACCTTGGTAAACAGAAATTTCTTCCTCTCGGATAGCCAATCCCATTCGTTGAGATAACGTCCTTACTTCATCGGCAGTTGGCTCTCTTAACGAGGATTCTACGTCAGGATTTTCGGCCATGGTACTCTGAAGGAAGATTAGTAATATAACATGTAGATTTAGCCAAGCCTTAAAGTGGAGCTCCTGAGCCGGGTTGTTCGAAACCCAGTTAAGCTAATCCAGTATAAGCGAAAATTTTGATTTGAGTTTTGTAACTTTACATTGAGGTTTTCTGTTTTGAATTCAATCTCAAAATACACAAAACAAATTAAAAGCAGTGAA